GGACGCAGCATTCACTGCCAGAGCACCCCGACCCCACACGTACCGTACATGCGCCAGTCGAGGCTCTCGGGCAGGATGATGCCAGCGTAGAGCTCGCTGGGGAAGGGCAGCCCGTTGTTGGGGACTCTGCTGGGACGGCGGCCCCTCAGGGCTGCCAGCTCCTGCGGCGTGCGGTCAGCCAGGTGGTTCAGGGCCAGCGTGTAGGACAGCGCGGCGCGGTTCCGGGAGTGCACAAACCTGTCACCGTGGTGGGGACAGCAGCTGGCACTGCCACCGCCTGCTCGCTGTGAGCGGCACCCCGATGTGAGGATCATCCTCCCCCAGCTGCCGTACCTCATGTTGTGCACGAAGATGCTCTGCCTGTGCTCCAGCTCCCACGCCGAGCGGTATCTCCGCCCCATCCGCCGGCGGTASTCGTGGAACACCCGGTGTGCCCAGGGCTGGTGCCGTCCCACCAGGTCTTCCATGGGGTTTGCCAGCACCCGATGCTCTGCCACGCTCCCCGGCAGCACTCCACACTTGGTCTCTGGGGACCAAAGAGGGGACATTGTCAGCCCGAGCCCCGCGGGCAGGACGGGGTGGCCCTCCCTGACTCACCGTTGATGGGGAGCTCGAAGATGGACGGGGGGTAGCTGTTGTCAAAGTCAGTGTAGGCGATTTCGTACTTGTCATAGTGAGACCCCAGCAGGCTGTTGTACCCCCGCATCTCATAGTGCACAGGGGCCACCCCACAGCTGGAGTTGGTGACCCACAGAGTGTAGATGTTCTTCTTCTGTGCCCAGCGGGTGACGTTCTGCCACACGGCGCAGTAGCGGCCCTCGTAGTACTCCTCCCGCAGGAACTGGGGGGACACGGTCTCAGGGAGGGGACCCCAACCTTCCCCAGGCTCCCTGCTGCCCACCAGCCCCTCGCACAGCCCGGTGCACACAGCGGGCTCTGGATCCTGTGAGCACACAGCCATGTGGGGGATGCAAATCCAGGCAAGGCTTTGGGGCACAACACAGGGCAGAACGCCCTGGTCTGGCTCAGCGGTGCCCTGGGAACGCTCACTGTGCACAACACTCTGTGCACCCATAGTGGGGGTCTGGCTGCACCACTTCTCCAAAAACCTCARCACATTCCAGGTTTTCCCTGCATGTTTCCAAGCTCTTGCCTTGCAGGCACGTGCCCAGCTCGGTGACAGCCTCATAACCTGCTGTCCCCTCTGCTCACGTGCTGTGCCCAGCCCTGACGCCGGCTGAGCTGCCATGCACAGACTTGCCCAAACCGTGCCGAAACGCCGCTGTTTGTGTGGGATGTGTCGTGTCCTAACACGGCTGCTGGAGTTGGGAAAGGAGCCAKTCCGGCCCCAATCCGGGTGGGGAARTGACCCTCCCTGCGCCCTGGGGTGCGGGGATGTGTCCTGGCCTGTCCCAGCACCCCCTCCCACAGCCCAGCCATGCTCTGCAGGCAGCTCCAGGCTCTGATGTTTCCCACCTTAAAGCCCCTCATGCTGGGGAAGACGCTCTGAGCAGTGACCACGTCCTCCTCGGAGCCGGGCAGCTGGAAACATTTCCTGGCGTTCACCTCCTTCTCAGTGGTCTCTGGTGTGATCTTGTACCTCATCCCGTAGGGCTTCACYGCTGCCAGCTGGTAGGTTATCACCTGCCCTGTGCCAGGAAAAGGGAAACTGAGGCACGGGAGTCCTGCCAGYGCAGGGCTGGCACAGCTGGAGCAGGTGGGTGCCCAGCTCCTACCTCCATAATACTGGATGCGGCTCTTGTTCCCCGTCAGGTTGTACCAGGCTTCGAAGGGCTCCTCGATCTCGGCGTAGGGCAGTTTAATGACTCCTGTGAGCCCCGGCACAGGACACAGATCAGCCCCAAAGCCTCAGCACTCCCACAGCCCTCCCCAAACCTCCCAGTCTGCACACCCACAGCTGCCCAAGCCACTGCCCATGGCTGATGGGTCAGGGAGAGGCACTCRGCCCRTTTGGCACTGGGACAGCCCYGGTCCTGCCTKGTGCTGAGCATCCTCTGCTCCCCCAGCACAGGGGCTGCAGGGTCCCGTTACCTCGGACGTGGTAGATGGAGCCAAACTGAGGGGGCGGGCGGGACACTCCATGGTCGTGTCCTGGAAGGCAGAGAGGGGCAGGTGAGGGTGTGAGTCCTGTCCGGCTGAGCTGGGGATGGCGGCTGCCAAGCCAAGCCAAGCCAAGCCAAGCCAAGCCAGTGCTCCCCTTCCCCGCAGCCTGGGGCTTTCCTGCGCGGCCAAAAGAACTTCCTGAGCTCATCCAGAGGTGCATCCAAGGGACACTGAGGCACGGACACCCTCCCCGGGTCAGCACCACGCCACAGCCTTCCATAACCCTGGAGTACCACACTGTTGCACCCCCAGGGAACCGCAGTTCCTGGGACGGCTGTTGGGGTGATGGCCCAGTGTCACACCCAGCACTGGTGGCCTTGGCCAGCAGCAGACYTGCCCCCTAACCCTCAGAGAGGTGGGGACGGGCCCATGACGCTGTCTCTGCCATCCACAGACGGTGTCAGGCTTGGGGGAGCAGCGACGGGTCCGGCCACCCCCAACCCTGCTCGGCTTCATGGACACCCAGAAAGAGAGTCCCACAGGGACATGGTCACTCTGCCACCCCCGTGCCCTCCCACCTGGCTGCCCTGCCTTCTTRGGTTAAACCCCTTGGTTTAAAGCTTTAATTTCATTTTATTTTCATGCCCCCCAGCCCCACCAAGCCCTCAAGGCACATCCCCCCCCGTCCTCTTTTCCACCCACCCAGCCGTGTCTTGGAGGAACTGCAAATTTTGGGACCCAACAAGCAACAAAACCACTTCTCCAGTCCCCAACTTCCTCCGCAGTGCAGCGGGAGGAGAGCTGGTGGGGTGTCCCCATCTCCCTCCCGTGCCCGGGGTGTCCCCAGCAGGGCCAGGGCCAGGGTGGGGGTCCCACTCACCCCGGACGGTGACGCAGAGCGCAGCGGCCCCGAGCCAGCGCAGCAGAGCACCCATGGCAGCCCCGGCTCACCCGGCACGGTGCCCCGCTTTAACCGGAGCCAGCGGCGGCCAAACCCGGCAGAGCCAATGCAGGATCGGGGCCCTCCCCGGAGGAGGGAAGGAACAGCATCGGGCGGTGCCTGTGCGGGACGGGCACCCCGGGTGCTCAATGGGGACAGCGTGTCTCGGCACGGCCCCGCCGGGGGAGATGGAGCAACGCCGCTGCTGCGAGGGACGGGATGCAGGATGAGCCCCAAAGTGCCTCAAGCAGCATTTGGGTGGTGCTGCTTTGGGTCTCTGGAGGACGCCCCCCAAGCCGGGGTCAGCCAGGCTTCCTTCCCTGAAGGGGGGATYGTCACCCGCTCCCTTCTGCGCCTGCAAGGGACAAATGGGCAGTGGGTGCTTGGGGCTGCTCCCGCGGTGGGAGGGGGGAGATCCTCGGGTGAAGAGAATCCTAGCGAGGCCCAGAGACCCCCCAAAGCCCCCAAATACAGGATTTAAGGGGAGCTGTGCTCCCTTTAAATCCCTAAAGGATGAGTGAGAAGGTGGCAAGTTAAGGTGACAGTCTGGGGACATTCACCAGCCCTTACCCCACCGTGAGAACAGGAAACACTGAAGCCAGACTCACTGTCACCTCAGGAAGAGGTCACCTCATGAGCGTTAACCTCAGGGTGAGGAGGAGGAGGAGGAGGAGGAAGGCTCTGGAGAGACGGGGAAGGATCCCACTCCTGCCCAGCTGTATGGGAGGAACGGGGTGGCAGAGCAGGACAAAGCCAGCTCCAGGCTGGAGCACAGCCAGACCCCCCTGCCCTGCTGGGCACCTCCATGCCCCTCTGGAGAACAGACCCATCAGCAGGGAGGGGAGCACCAAAAACATTGCCATCCCCCGGGGTGGAGGGTGGGTTGGGGGCTGTGCAGGGTGGGGCTCTGTGGAGTTGTGAGGTGGGGGAGGGTCCGTCTGGGGAGGGGTGGCTTCTCCACACCCCTGATTTACACTGGGTGTTCCTCCAGGGAGGGACCCCAACAAAAACCCCTTGGTTTGGTCAGGGTCCCGTAAGTCTGAGGTGCTCTCTGCAGGTGGGTGCCTCAGTGACCCGGGCTGGGAGCCCAGGAGGGCTCAGAGCGGGTGCAGGAGAGCTAAGACAGAGTGCAGGATCACACAGGGTGCTGGGGGCTCAGGCAGGGGGCTCAGGCAGGGTTCTGGGGGGTTACCCCTCTCCCAGAGCTCACTGAACTCTGTGTCTGGGTGTGACCGATGCCGAATCTTGGGGCCATCCCATCAGTAGCTTTATCTGGACAAGGGGTAAATAAGGGGTCTGACGTGTGCTGGGCAATCCATGGACACGGGAGCTGCTTCCCATGCTGGGGGGACATTTGGGACCCCCGTGTAACACAACCCGGAGCCACCACCGGCCATTCCCGGGGCAGGGTGGGCTCTCGGTGCCCCTCCAGACCCTGCCCTCCCTCCGAGAGCTGTGCCGGCGGGACGGGGGATGCTGTGTGTGTCCTGCCAGCAGACGGGACGCTGTTCCTGCCCCTCTCTGCGTGCAGTTTGATGTCCCTTTGCTGTTGCCTTCCTCGGGGGGCTCAGGGAGATTTTGCGGATCCTGGCACAAGCTGGGTCTGCACACACGSCCCGTAAATCCCAGCAGGCAGAGCCAGGGAGTCCCCGCCAGGCTCTTCTCGGGCTGCTGGGGACCAGAGAGCCCCTGATGCCAGCCTGTTGCCCGCTGTGCCCCTCCACGGGCGGGCAGGCGGTGGTGCCCAGGCTGGCTCTGCCGAGGTGTCCGGGGGCGATCGGGGGCGATCGGGGGGGATCCGGAGGGGATCCGGGGGGGATCCGGGGGGGATCCGGGGGGGATCTGAGGGGATCCGGGGGCGATCGGGGGGGATCCGGAGGGGATCCGGGGGGGATCCGGGGGGGATCCGGCAGCCACCCCGGCTGGGCTGGCTGGTACGATGAACCATCGCTGGGAGCGCGGGGAGGAAGGGGGGGCGAGGGGAGGGGAAGCTCTTGCTCGGCTGCCAGAGCCGCCGAAGAGACAGGGGAAGCTCAGGGCCGGGCGCTCCCGCTCTCCCACGCCCCCGGCCCACGCCCCCGGCGCCGGGTGAAGCGGGGGCTGCCAGCCGGGGGTCCCGTCGGGGGTCCATGCCAGCCGGAGCAGGAGCGCTGACGGTAGGAGGGATGCATGCTCTGTGTGGCGCAGGGTGGTGGGGACTCCCCCTGGAAGAGCGGGCGGCTCTCCTGATCCCCTTGCCGGGTTCTGCTCGGACATGTCCCCTCCAAGTGTGGGGTGGCTCTGGGGCCCGGTGGCACAGACAGAGGTTCCCGTGACACTGTGGGCTCTGTTGGGGGCTGCCCTCACTGTGCCCTCGCTACTCCCCTGGGAAATGTCCGGGGTGTGGGAGAGACCCCCGTCCCCGCCATGCTGGGGGCTGTGCTGTGCTGTGTGTGAGGATCTGGGGACACGCAGCAGCTCCAGCTCCCCGTGCCGGCGCTCACCAGCGCTCACGCTACGTCGGGGAGCCCGCGGAGCGCGCTGTGCCCTCCCCCTCGCTGTGCCGGACCCCTCGCTGGGGAGGGGACACAGCTSTGCCCCGTCCCTGCAGGTGCCATGGGGTGCCAGCCCAGCCAGAGCTCTGGGGCTGTCCAAGGCTCAGCTCTCCGTGGCTGGGGCTGGGGGAACTGCGGGGGGCTCAGGCCCTGCTGGAGCGGATGCTCCCCCACTCCCTGCAGCTCTGCTTAGTCCCCGATCCTTGGTGTGTCCCAAGGAGGGACAGGAACTCGCTGCTTCCTGCCCTGCACAATTCCCTCCCCACCCCGCTCCTCCTGGGACATTGTATTTGGAGCCCTGGCCAGCTCCCTCCCTCCRCCCCTGCAGCCCCTTGGATCCGGGAATTGCTCCTCTTCCAGCGGAAATCCTGCTTTCCCAGCCAGCGATGGGGCTGGAAGGCTGGGGAAGGGGGGTCCCTCTCTCCTGGGCAGCTCCTGCCAGGTTGKGGGGCAAGGGGACCCCCTGCCATGGGCCTGGTGACTGACAGGTGGGCTTTTGGGGSTGGCAGGTCCTTCATTTTACATCCCAGGGACCAGCCCTGCTTGTGAGCATGCAGAGGGTGAGGTGTCATCCCTCCTTACCCTCCTTGTTCCCCCACTGGGAGCGACTGGGTGCTCACCAGGCTCTGGGTGAACTGGGGTGACTGGAACTGCCACCAGCATGATCTGGGTGGGYCCGGGGCTGGGGGCAGGGGAAGGGGCAGGGACCAGCCACGATCTGCCATCCTGCTGAACAAGGAGCAGATGGGGGGACGGATGTGGCCTCTTCTCCCGTCCCCAGGTCTGTGCTCCTGGACATGGAATGGGAACACAGCTCCCAGTTCTGTGTCCRTATGAGCCCACCTTCCCCTCCAGCTGCCTCATGCCTCAGTTTCCCTGCGGGAGCAGGGAGCTCCAGGGCTGCAGGGTAACAGAGGAACCCTGGCAGCCCAGGCTGGGCTGTGCAGCCCTCTCGGTTCCTCATCCCAGGGACAGCGTGCTGGTCACTGCAGGGCTGTTCAGGGTGATGGTGTGGGACAAGGCATGGGGGGATTCAAGATACCCAGGGGGCTGCAGCCCCATTGTGATCCCTCCTTGGCTGTCACCATCCCCTGGGCTTGAGGTCCTGCCAGTCCTTTGGCCCCCTGAAAGGCACAGAGCCATCCTCTTCCTCCCCCTCCTCCCCCACACCACGCTCCTGCTGCTTCCTCTTCCCACTGCAGAGGTGTTGTCAGAGTTCCTCTGGTGGCTGTCCCCTGCCCAGGGGAGTCGTGGCCCCCTCAGCCTGGCAAATGCCACCACAGAATGTCCCCACAGCACGAGAGGAATGGAGGCAGGGAACAGAGGTGACCCCAGGGGACCCCAGCACTGCGGGTGACACGGGGGATGCACTGGTGTGTGTAGGGACCTCGTGCCCTGTGCAGGAGCTGGGGCTGAGCTGTGCCACGTCCCAGGGCTCAGGGAAGCAGATGGAAGGGCAGTCAGGGGTGAGGCTGCTCGTGGCCAGCCTGCCCGGTGGGATGGGGGTGCCGGGTGTCAGCGGGGCGGGGGCTGGCAGCTCAGCTGCCTCTGCTGCTGCTGGAGCCGGGGTGCCAAAGGCTCAGTGGCCATCTGCTCTCTGGCTCTAAGCAGTTCCTTTTTGGAGGGCTGGAGCCAGCACACACCATGGGACACGGTGCCAGAGGTGTCCCCTCCCCATGGACGGTGTGAGGGGACGGCTCTGGGGCCACTCAGGGGGTTTGGGGTGCACAGGGGAGGGAAGCCTGGGTGCAGCGCTGCTGTACAACCCCTGAACCCTCGATGCTGTGRTACTGGAACGTGCTCCTTGACAGCCCCGTCCCTGCTGGCAGCTCCACTGCCTGCTCAGCACTGAAATTCAGCAAAATGGGAAGTTTCTGAACATGGTGGATGGGTGATTCCCACAGAGAGGGACAGGGTTTGTGGGAACTCGGGTTGTTTGTCAGGTGAAATAGCCTCTCATTGTCAGCAAGAATAAAATCCCCAACCAGCCACGTTTGCTTGGATTTGGCAACACTACCCTGTCGGCAACGGCCACAGCCTTACCACAGCCCTCATGTCGAAAGCAGAGATGGAAGGGTAGAGCCAGGCTCYTTGCACCCCTGCTGAGAGAGGAAAGGGAATCAATGGCCGTGATGGGGAAAACGGCCCTGAAACATCTCATCCAGCCCAAAACCTTTGTCTTCTTCTGCCCACTGGAGTGTGGAGGACAGGACACCTTGGTGCATCCTCGCTCTGCTCTCAACTGGAGACAGAGCAGCCTCGGGCATATTGCAGACTGGAGTGCTCTGCCAGTGCAAACTGGGCAGACTGGTGTGGGTGGGTGGCCAGCACCCCGGGCAGTGACAGAGATGGGGACACACTGGGTCCTTGCAGCCTTGGCTGGAGAGGTGCAATTTCCTCCCCTTCCTCCCCCTGTGTGACACCCTCTGAGCACGTGTGGCTGGAGGAGTCTGTGCTGACCGCAGCCATGTGAGTGGGGACCTCCCTCCCCAAAACACGCACTCCCCGCAAGCAGAGGTGTGGGGATGGGATGTTTCTGGGGCTCCTTYCCCCGGSCTGGCTCCCCTTCCCCCGGAGGGAYGKGAGTGGTGTGGCGAGGACATGGAGACAACAGCTCGCTCAAGGATGTGGTTTCAGCCCGCGCAGGGGTGTTGCAGCCCTCAGAGGAGTGTTGCAGCTTTGTGGGGGTGTTGCAGATCCTGCAGATCATTTTAGCTCGTGCAGGGGTGTTGCAGCCTGTGCAGGGGTGTTGTAACTCGTGCAGGGGTGTCGGAGCCGGCGGATCTTGCAGACCGTGTCAGGTGTTGCAGCCTGTGCAGGGCTGGTAGCGCCCAGGGCAGGGGTGTTACATCCTGTTCGGGGCTGTTTCAACCCATTCAGGGGTATTTTAGCACTCGACAGGAGTGTTTCAGTATGTGCAGGGGCGTTTCAGCCCTGGAAGGCTATTTCAGCCCGTGGCCAGGGTGTTTCACCCATGCAAAGGCGTTGCCCCGTGCCTGATGCCCTCCCTGGTGCCCACAGGTGCCTCTTGTCCTCCCTGAGGTGACATGAAGCAGCTGAAGTGACCCGCGAGCCGTCGCAGTGAGTGGAGCCGGGGGCAGCAGTGCCCTGGTCACAGCGGGTCCCTGACACGGGCAGTGCCCCCGGGGACCCCGCTGTCCCCCGAGCTGAGCCCCAGGGCGGGCAGGGCACCGCGGTGCCGCTGCCATGGGGCACACCCGAGTGCCCTGCCCGGGGCTCACCCGAGTGCCCTGCCCGGGGCTCACACCCCCTCTGTCCGCAGGCGCTGCCCACGATGGGCTGCGTGCCCTGCAAAGAGAGGGCGGCTGGCAAAGGGCAGCCGGGGGGCGACGGGCCCTCCCTGCAGCCCCCGGGCTCTCAGTACGACCCCGACCCCACGCAGCCAGGGGCCATCTTCACCCGCATCCCCGACTTCAACAACTTCCAGGGGCCGGCCCTGCCCTCGGCCCCGTCCTTCACAGGGCTGGGGGGCTTCACCTCCAACATGCTGCAAACATGGAGCGGGGGCATCACAGGTCAGTGGGGAGATGGGTGATGGGAGATGGGATATGGGAGTTGGGTGATGGGTGATGGGAAATGGGAGATGGGAGATGGGAGATGGGAGATGGGAGATGGGAGATGGGAAATGGGAGATGGGAGATGGGAAATGGGAGATGGGAAATGATAAATGGGAAATGGGTGATGGGAGATGGGAGATGGGAGATGGGAAATGGGAGATGGGAGATGGGTGATGGGAGATGGGAGATGGGAAATGGGAAATGGGAGATGGGAGATGGGAAATGGGAGATGGGAGATGGGAAATGGGAAATGGGAGATGGGAGATGGGAAATGGGAAATGGGAGATGGGATATGGGTGATGGGAGATGGGAGATGGGTGACAGGAGGGGTCCAGCTGCACCCCTGGGCTGTGCACTCTGCGGTCACTGTGCTCTCTGTGCTGCAGGTGGGGGGGTGACTCTCTTCATTGCCCTCTATGACTACGAGGCCAGGACGGAGGATGACCTGACATTCCAGAAAGGAGAGAAATTCCACATCATCAACAACACGTGAGCCCCCCGGACCTCCTGCCACCCCCAGCACCCCACAGCAGCCCCRGGAGGTGCCTCGAGTGCTCCCTGCAGTCCCCAGGCGGGCACCCAAGCTCTGCCTGGGCTCCACTGCTGGGTGTCAGGGCCATCTCATGAGCTGGGTGGGCTGAGGGACAGGAGGGTCTGGGGTGTGCAGGGTGAGGAGGCACTCGATGGCCGGCTCTGTCTGTCTGTCTGTCTGTCCCCACTCGTCCACATTCTCTGTTTTGCCGTGGCAGGGAGGGGGACTGGTGGGAGGCCAGGTCACTGAGCTCAGGTGCCACCGGCTACATCCCCAGCAACTACGTGGCCCCTGTGGACTCCATCCAGGCGGAAGAGTGAGTGGCTGGGGRAAGGATGGGGAGAGCCCCAGCCCCACTGCCAGGCCTGGCTGTCCCCGGGAGCCCTGGCAGCGCTGCGGTGCTGCTGTGGGGTTCTGTGGGTGCCCCTTGGGGGGCTCTCCCAGCGCTGAGCCCTCTACCATTGCAGGTGGTACTTTGGGAAGATCGGGCGCAAGGATGCGGAGCGGCAGCTCCTGTGCCACGGCAACTCCAGGGGCACCTTCCTCATTCGGGAGAGYGAGACAACGAAAGGTACGGGACAGGGAGGACACGGGGTGGTGCCCTGCATCCCGCCCTGACCCCCATCCCCACGCAGGTGCCTACTCCCTCTCCATCCGGGACTGGGATGAAGCCAAGGGAGACCACGTCAAGCACTATAAGATTCGGAAACTGGATAACGGGGGGTACTACATCACCACCCGCGCCCAGTTCGACACGGTGCAGCAGCTGGTCCAGCACTATGTGGGTAAGGTGGGGTGGGGGCACGAGAGGGGTGATGGGAGGGGTAGGGAAAGCCCAGAAGACCCTCYGGTAAGAGACTGGACCGACAGGGTTGATCTGGGGAGGGAGGGGGCTGTTCTGGTGGTTCTGGCATCAGCAGACTCCCTAAGGGTCCCCCCTTTTTCAGGGGGTCTGGGAGTTGCCAYGATCTCCGGTGGGTGGGCATCACCCCGTCCCTGGGTGCAGCTGGGGGCACTGGGGGTCCAGCCCAGCCGAGGGGCTGTCACTGGGGCGGGTGGAGGGGGTGCACGTGTATTTGGGGGTGATGGGGTCACACAGGAGCCTCGGTGATGCCTGGGGTGGTGGAAACGGGCACAGGGCTGCAGGGTCCGTGCCCAACTGACCCCTGTCCCTGTCCCTGTGCCACAGAGCGGGGACAGGGCTGCAGGGTCCCTGCCCACACTGACTCCTGTCCCTGTCCCGGTGTCACAGAGCGGGGACAGGGCTGCAGGGTCCCTGCCCACACTGACTCCTGTCCCTGTCCCGGTGTCACAGAGCGGGCAGTGCCCACTCTGACTCCTGTCCCTGTCCCTGTGCCACAGAGCGGGGACAGGGCTGCAGGCTCCGTGCCCAACTGACCCCTGTCCCTGTCCCGGTGTCACAGAGCGGGCACAGGGCTGCAGGGTCCCTGCCCACACTGACTCCTGTCCCTGTCCCGGTGCCACAGAGCGGGGACAGGGCTGCAGGGTCACTGCCCACACTGACTCCTGTCCCTGTCCCGGTGTCACAGAGCGGGCAGCGGGGCTGTGCTGCCGCCTGGCCATGCCGTGCCACAAGGGAACCCCCAAACTGGCCGACCTCTCAGTGAAAACCAAAGACGTGTGGGAGATCCCCCGCGAGTCCCTCCAGCTCCTCAAGAAGCTGGGCAATGGACAGTTCGGGGAAGTCTGGATGGGTAGGGCCCAGAGGGCAAGCCAGGGCTAGAGGCAGGGGGGACACGGGGTCACCCCCAGGCCTGGCACCCCTGCAGGAAATGCTCCTGCCTGCCAGGACAGCCTGACTGACACTCATTTGCCACAATGGGTGCCCCAAGATGCCCCACGTCACCTCTGCATGGGCAAACAGACCCCCATTGCAGACGGGACCACAAGACCAGGCTGGGGGTGCCACCTTTGTCATCCTCTTCCTCTGGCATCCTGTGCTCCCTCCACTCATGCATGCTGCCTTCATCCCATCACATCCCCTCCCTCCTGCTCCCTCCTGCCTGCCCCCATCCCCTGCAGAGTACAACGACGGGTTGTGCCATCTGCTCACCCACCCGTGCCCCACTATGAAGCCCCAGACCCTGGGATTAGCCAAGGATGCCTGGGAGATAGCACGGGAATCCATCACCCTTGACAAGAAACTCGGCATGGGCTGTTTTGGAGACGTGTGGATGGGTAAGGCTGGCCCGGCGGGTGGGAGGGGTGTGGGGGGCAGGAGGAGCCTTGTTCTGAGCTGGCAGGGAGCACCACAGGGTGTTGGTGGTACCCGCTGGTGTGGGCGAGATGGAAGCTTGGCCCAGAATCCGTGATGGGGTGAGGTTGGTGTTAGGAGAGAGCTCAGGGGAGCCTTTGGGTGAGGGGAGCCCCTTGTCCTGGGTGGGGATCACAAACCCCACCAAGGGATCCCTTCCTTGCCCTGCTCTGATTTCCTTGCCCCATCCGTCCATCCATCCATCCATCCATCCATCCATCCATCCATCCATCCATCCATCCATCCATCCATCCATCCATCCATCCATCCATCCATCCATCCCATATGCATGCAGGCATGCACCCACGCCCCCCTCCATCCCCGAGCCCTCCCTCCTGGCCCCAGCAGGGCTGGCTGTCCCCGGGCTCAGGGTGACTCCGTGTCCCCATGCCAGGCACGTGGAATGGCACCACGAAGGTGGCAGTGAAGACGCTGAAGCCGGGGACCATGTCCCCCGAGGCGTTCCTGGAGGAGGCGCAGATCATGAAGCGGCTGCGGCACGACAAGCTGGTGCAGCTCTACGCCGTGGTGTCGGAGGAGCCYATCTACATCGTCACCGAGTTCATGAGCCAGGGTGGGCAGGGGTACCCGCCTGGGCACGGTGCCGGGGCAGGGGCTCGCAGGGGAGGGCACCGTCGGGTTTGGGGGCACTTGGACGGGGATCTCTTCTGCTGCAGGCAGTTTGTTGGATTTCCTGAAGGATGGGGACGGCCGCTRCCTGAAGCTGCCCCAGCTGGTGGACATGGCTGCCCAGGTACTGGGAAATGCTGTAGGGTGGGGGTGACACCCAGGGGGTTACCTGGGGGGTCTTCACTGCCTCCTCCCCCTCAGATTGCGGCGGGCATGGCGTACATCGAGCGCATGAACTACATCCACCGCGACCTCCGCGCTGCCAACATCCTGGTGGGAGACAACCTCGTCTGCAAGATCGCTGACTTCGGCCTGGCTCGCCTCATCGAGGACGACGAGTACACGGCACGGCAGGGTGGGGACCTGCACTGCCCTCCCTGCTGCGTGCCACCCTCAGTGGATGTGGTCAGCCTGGGGCTGGGTGACCTGGTGACCTGGTGACCTGGGTGACCTGGGTGACATGGGTGATCTGGGTGACATGGGTGATCTGGGTGACCTGGGTGACCTGGGTGACATGGGTGACATGGGTGACCTGGTGATCTGGTGATCTGGGTGACCTGGGTGACATGGGTGATCTGGGTGACCTGGGTGATCTGGGTGACCTGGGTGACCTGGGTGACATGGGTGACATGGGTGATCTGGGTGACATGGGTGACATGGGTGACCTGGGTGACCTGGGTGATCTGGGTGACCTGGGTGACATGGGTGACATGGGTGACMTGGGTGACCTGGGTGATCTGGGTGACCTGGGTGACATGGGTGATCTGGGTGACATGGGTGACCTGGTGACCTGGGTGACCTGGGTGACCTGGGTGACCTGGTGACATGGGTGACCTGGGTGCTGGGCACCCCAAGCCATAGTGCACCAGGGAATGGGGATCCTGCGTGATGGGCACTCAGAATATTTAGAGTGATGGATAGCTTGGCTCACCCCTGGGTCAGTGTCCCAGAGGATGGGTGTCCCGGGGAATGGGCACCTCCAGGGGGTGAGTGCCTCAGGGAGCAGGTATTTTGGATAATGGACACCCCAAATGATGGGTACCCCAGGTACAGGGTGTTCACAGCGCAGGGTGCCTGGGGTGCTGGGTGTTCTGTGTGCCCCAGATGGAGGGGTTCATGGGTGCAGAGTGTCCCCAGTGTCCCCACTGGCTCGTCCTGTGGGCAGAGTGCCCTGGGTGTGGGTGCAGCCCCATGGCTCACCCGTGTCCCCTCRCAGGTGCCAAGTTCCCCATCAAGTGGACGGCTCCAGAGGCCGCTCTTTTTGGGAGGTTCACCATCAAGTCAGACGTCTGGTCCTTCGGCATCCTCCTGACAGAGCTGGTGACCAAAGGCCGKGTGCCCTACCCAGGTACAGCCCATGGGGCCGGGCACAGACAGGGCTGACCCTCCTGGGCAAGGCTTATCCACACCTCAACTGCCCCATCAGACAGACCAATCCTAAACCGGGCTCCTCCCCAAACCACCGCTGGGTGCCTCAGTTTCCCTCCTGTCCTTGTCCGCAGGGATGAACAACCGAGAGGTGCTGGAGCAGGTGGAGCGGGGGTACCGCATGCAGTGCCCGGGCAGCTGCCCCCCGTCCCTGCACGAGCTGATGSTGCAGTGCTGGAAGCGGGAGCCCGAGGAGCGCCCCACCTTCGAGTACCTGCAGTCCTTCCTCGAGGACTATTTCACTGCCACCGAGCCCCAGTACCAGCCTGGGGACAACCAGTGACCGGCAGCTGGCACCCCAGGAAGCTCTGGGGTGGCTTTGGGGTGAATCTCCCATTTGCTTTAGGGGGTTGTTGATTCCTTTGGCTGTGCCCCCCAAAGTGCCCGTTGTGGGGTGCTCAGGGTGCCCCAGGAATGACACGGGGCTTTGCACAGGGATGTTGGACTCGGAGAGGTGGCAAAGCTGTGCCCCCCAGGCCCTCCTTCCCCCACTCCCTTTATTGCCTTCACACCCAGCTTTGAGCCTGCGGGGCTTTGGCTGCAGGGAGGAGTGCGGGGTACCCCCTGAATGCCCCAAACACCCCCAGAGCCTCGGCAGGAGAGGGCTCAGGGGAAGCTCTCCATGCCAACCCCGATCTCCTCTGGGAACACAGCGGGGTGGGGTTCAGCCCCCAAACTCCTGGCACTGACCTGGGGGTGCTCACCTCAACCCTCCCTCCCTCTATAGGTYTTTAATTTATAAGGTTTCAGGTGCCTCCCCCAGCAGCCGCCAAGGGATCCCAGCATTTYGGGGACTCCCTTGTCCCCCTCACTCATCTCCTCTGCTTTACAGTAAAGTCCTGAAACCATGAACCTCTGCTGGCACTGGGAGCACAGGGGATCCGGGGGAGCACAGGGGGTCTGGGGGAGCACAGGGGGTCTGGGGGAGCACAGGGGGTCTGGGGGTCCCAGGCAGGGTGGGGTCAGGTCTGCACCCGGGGCTGGTCCCTGCTGGCCCTGGGGACAGGAGAAGGGTGTGGGAGTGTGGGATGGGGTCAGCTCCGCAGCAGGAATTTTGGGGGGACTGGGGGAAGGGGCTTTGGGGTCAATGTGAGTGCAATGGCTCTGCCTTCTGCCCCTGCAGGCACCCCCATTCTTGAGCGGGGTCCCCGTCCCGTGCCCCATGGCCAGAGCCCCCCGAGCCCAGGGCAGAGCTGTGGGGGCGCAGTGCCATGGGGGGAGGGACTGGTTGTTTATTTTTTGTAATGAAATCTGTAAATACGGAGAAATAAAACCTTTCTAACAAACTGGGGCAGCCCAGGTCCTCCTGCCCCCATGGACAGAGGGGCTGCTCCCGATGGCCAGAAGCACCGGGGGTGCTTAGGGCTGGGGGTGCAGTGCTGGGTTATAGGATTTGGGGTGGGATCCCCCATGCCCATGCAGAGGGGGCTCCCAGATTCAGCCAAGCCAGGACTGAGTGATGTCTCCTCAGCCCCTCCATCCCCAGGGCACAAATTTGGGGCTCCTCCTCCATGGGGGTGAGCAGAGAACRCCCCCCCTGCCCTCAAGACCGTTTGGGGAGGGGACACGCCAGCTTCCTTTGTGAACAAAAGCCTGGAACACAAGGGGTTGGGAAGGATTTGGGTGCCCCCACAGCCCCCAGCACCCTCCCCAAGAGGGGACTGTCCCTTCTGCCCGCTGTGACAGAGGGGTCCCGTTCTCTCAGGCTGGGGAGGAAGGGGTTAATTTTCCTTGCAGCTTGGCCTCCCCAGCAGGGCCCAGCTGTGCCGGTAATGAATTCCTCAGCACTGGTGGGAAGGGGGGACTGGCCCCCACCTCAGCCAGGGGGGCTCCGGCTGTGGGGACGATGCTGGGGGCCAATGGCAATGGGTTGGGGACACACCTGGGGCTTTGGGGATACGCTGAGGTGTCTGGGGACACACCTGGGGCTTTGGGGATACACTGAGGTGTCTGGGGACACACCTGGGGCTTTGGGGATACACTGAGGTGTCTGGGGACACACCTGGGGCTTTGGGGCATACCGGGAGGTTTGGGGACATGCCACCATCCCTACAAGAGCTTTGGATCCCGTGAGAAGATGGTGGTGGAGAGGAACAGGGCTGGATCTGCCCCTGCTGCCCCATCCCAGAAATATCCCTGGGGAAGGGCCAGGCCCAGCCAGGCGGGGTGGCAGGCTGCCCGGGCTGGGGCAGAGCAGATTGCACGGCAGGGACAGCCAAGGACAGGAGGCGGTTGGCATTGGGGGCCCCGGGCACAGTCCCGGTGCCAGATTGTGGCCATTGGCTCCTGGGGGACACAGCCAKGGTCACCCATGGGCACAGCCCTGTCACTGTCACCTGCTGACACTGGGCACACACGGGCTCTGGCACCCACCCCGGGCAGGGGGGTCTGGGGACAGCGAGCCCCCCCGGTGCCAGCCCGGGCTGAGGGGTCTGGGGACAGCGAGCCCACCCGGTGCCAGCCCGGGCTGAGGGGTCTGGGGACAGCGAGCCCACCCGGTGCCAGCCCGGGCTGAGGGGTCTGGGGACAGCGAGCCCACCCGGTGCCAGCCCGGGCTGAGGGGTCTGGGGGCAGCGAGCCCACCCGGTGCCAGCCCGGGCAGGGGGGTCTGGGGACAGCGAGCCCCCCCGGTGCCAGGGCGGGCAGGGGGGTCTGGGGACAGCGAGCCCTCCCGGTGCCAGGGCGCGGGTGTGAGGACGCTGCAGATGGCCGGGGCTGCACGCCCTGGCACAAGGGACCCACGGCACTGCCACCCTCCCCGGGGCCCCCTCGCCCCGAGACGCTGCTGGGGACCCTGGGGACGGGAAGGAGCCATCCCCATCTGCAGCACGATGAGTGTTTGTCCCTGTGCCCCCCGGCTCCTCGGGGAYTGGCAGACGTGCAGAGCTCCGGGTCATGGATCACAGCCACGTCTCCGTGGCAGCAATGGCCAGACAACAGTGGAAAATGGCCAAAAAAACGGGTTTAGGCTTGACCAAGCTTGTGCCTGCTGATCCAGGCCTGCAGGCTGTCCCCGCAGAGGGGAAACTGAGGCACAGGTGGATTTATCTGTAATCACCCAGCAGCTCATCCCCAGTCACTGTGAGGGACACTTCTTTCCATGGAAAAATAACAGATAATTGGGAAGAGCTATGCACTGACAGCACCTGTGACACGGAGCATCTGTGACAGCAATGGGAGAGCAGCAGGATTTGGGGACRGAGGTGACATCGCAAACACGGGCAATGGGGAGGAGGCACCGTGGGAGCCTTGCTCTGCTGGCCCCGGGGCTGCTCCAAAATGGCATTTTTGGGAAAAATTTGGAACGGTTTTGSTGCTGCTCCCAGGCAGCTGGGGGCTGGAATTGGAGGCTGGAATTCGGCTCTTCTGCCGCAGTTACATTTATGGAGGTAGAATAGGGCTGGCCTCAACTCTCCACAGACATCGGAGGGGCAGGACTCCCCCAAACCCCCCAGCGCCTCTAAACTGTGCGCCCCACAAAGGCAACTCCTGTATCCCAGCAAAGCATCAGCCGCTTTTCTCTGTCTGCTCCCCCCACCCCCGTGCCCCCCACATCTCCCCCACAGCACCCATTGCTTTCTGACCCCCTGCTCCCACCCCCGGAGCTTTCGGAGCTTTCGGAGCTTTCGGAGCTTTCGGAGCGGCAGCCGCTGCCGCGGCCCCAGCCCAGCCGCCCCGGCGTGGGGACACAGCCAGCGGGTCACCCCGCTCCGGGGAGTGGCTGCCCCCGGCTTTGGGGAGGGACGCGGACTGAGCCGGGGACAGCGGTGGCAAAGCAGCCACTAGATGGTAGCGTAAGCCCACGCCAACGCTGCTGACACAGCACTTGCCGGGGAGAGGGGACACGGTGCCCGGGTGACCTGGGTGGCCCTGGGGACCGCCTCCAGCACCCGCGGCTCCAGCTCAAAAGAAATCCTGAGCACTCGCAGAGCGGTGACACGAGTGGCACGGGCACTGCCCCGATGTCCCCTGCCATGGCTGGGAGTCACCCGTGTCCGTGGGGACAGGATGGGACCCCCACTCCCAAACCCACCTCATCCATCTCTGCCCCAAACCCACCTAATCCATCTCTGCCCCAAACCCACCTCATCCATCTCTGTCCCAAACCCCACTCCCAAACTCCTGCACGGTGCAAGGCTTACTGGAGAGGGAACAAAGCCAGGCCTGGGGACCAGGACGGCCACAAGGCACCCCATTCAGCACAGCGGTGCTGGCCACCCACAGGAGTCTGGCAGGGCCGGGTGGGGTGTCCATCCCACTGGGAAGTTCCTCATTTTACTCCTCATCCTCCTCCAGTCCTGCCTGGGGCTCCATGCCAGGCTGATATATATATTTTATGATAACTATAGAGATGCACTTCAAACGTGACAAAGGACTTTGACAGTTTTAAGCATCTCTTTGATTAATGCATGACCTTTTAATGCTTTGGATTAAATTAATAAATCTTTTACATCATAACCCATTCTGCTTGCGATGTCATGTTTTTTGCACGACCTCTCTCTCTTCCCTGCCCTATCCCTCTGTCCATCTCCCCCCGTCCCTGCACAGGTACAATGATCCACAGCCTTGCAATATTCATSGGGCACAAAGCCCTGCAAAGCAAGAAGGGAGGGATCCTCCTAAGTGGTTTTTTGGTTTTTTTTTTTGAACCGTCCCTAAAAATAGCAAGAAAATTCAAAGCTGACATTCAGGGCAAGGGGACGAGGAAGCCTGCAAAGTTGCTCACTCAGCCACCAGCAATTGCAGCGATCCTGTCTGCGTGTGCAGATTCCTCTGCTGACCGGGCTGGAGCCCAGGCCTCCGCTCTGCTCTGCTCCCAGGAGCTCTGCAGCCTGCTCCCCATCTTATCTGGGTGTGCAGGGTCCAGCCAGTCCCATACCAGCCCCGCTGATCCCGCTGGGCTGCATGCAGGGACAGACCGGACCTTTCCAAATTGCAGCAGGTCCCAGCTGGAAGATGGCTCTCAGCTTGACCTCAGTTTACCAGTTCATCCCAGTTTAGCGGCGAAGCTGTGATGACCAGAGCATATCTGGAGTTCAGATTCCTTCCTTGCTGCCTGTTGATCCAAAAACACATGAAAGCCCAAGCTGCCCCACAAAGGCGAGTCAAAGGGCGGCTGGAAAGCCAGGTGCTGTGTCTCTCCCTGCACCCATGTGTTATTCCATCGATGACTCACGTGTTATTAGCAGCCAAGCAATACTCCCAATTCCCTGGAGTTAACCCTTCACTCGTCACTCACAAAAACACCATGTCATAACAAACATCACTGGTATTATCTACTTTAATTATATTGTATCTACCCAGCTCCGGGAACATTAACAGAGACGGAGACTCGGTGCTGGGGAGATGCTCCGTGCAGTTTGGGGAGGGAGGATACAGGATGCTCAGGATGCTGGGGGGCAGCTCCCTGCTCTGCCACCACTGTCCGAGGGACCTTGGTCACCACCTTCCCTCCTGGCATTCCCGCTGGGACATGGCCAAGAGATGACAGAGAAAAAAAAATCGGAGAAACAGGTTGTTAGCAAATAGCAGAGATATTTCCAAGCCTGAGAAAGAGCTTTTGATTTAAGAAAAAATGCGTTAAAAGTGGGGGGAAAGGGAAAAAGGACGTGCTTGGCTCCACGGGCACTCTTGGCTCCACGGGCACTCTTGGCTCTGTGGGAATACTTGGCTCCTTGGGGATGCTTGGCTCCGTGGGAGGTGTGTGAGGGTGCAGGGGTGCTGAGTTGGAAAGGGCGATGAGGTGCACCCCCGGCTGTGGGGGGCTGCAGAGAGGGGAGTGTGTCCCCAAATCCCGCATCCCCGAGGAGGGGTGCGCAGTGCAGGCACAACCCGGGAGAGGGCAGCAATGCCCCGCGCATCCCACTGGGACCTCGGGGAGGGGGCAGCTGG